GCTATAGTAATAGATCACTATAGAAGGTAGAGGAGTATTAACTAAACAATATCAGGACAGGTAGCAGGAGCTGTGGCATGGGAATGTAGGAACAAAGCTAGTGATGGGAGTGCAGACACGATGGCAGAGCACTGTGAAGCATCCAAGTCCCCAGTGCCACTCTGCCCATGAGACCCCGTTTATAAACAGCCTGGATCTGGCCAAACTGAAACCATCGTATGTTAGATGAGGCTTGTTGAAATTGGCCTGCTGAAAAAGCTGTTCCCTGGCTTCCAGATGAGAAAGGGCATCTGAGAACAGAGAAGAAAAGGATGTAAATTTAGACAAGAAATTACTCAGAATGACAGGCCCATGGTTTCTTAGATGAGACCAACAGCACACGTAACAAAAGAAAAATATACATAAATTGGACTCCATCAAAACTAAAAACATTTCTGGTGCGCAGGATACTATCAAGAGAGTGAAAAGTCAATGCAGAGAATGAGAGAAATATTTGCAAATTATGTATCTGATAAGGGATTTGTATCCAGAATATATAAAGAACTCTTACAACTAAATAACAAAAATACAAGTTACCCAATTTAAAAATGGGCAAAGTGGCCGGCCACAAAAAAAAAAAAAAAAAAAAACCCAAAAAGAGCAAAGGATTTGAATAGATATTTCTCCAAATAAGATATATAAGTGGCCAGTAGTACATGAGAAGATGCTCAACATCATTAAGCATTAGGGAAATGCAAATCAAAGCCAGAATGAAGAAAACACTTCACACACAATGCGACGGCTATGTTAAATAACAAGTGTTGGTGAGCATGTGGATAAATGGAACCCTCATACACTTCTGGTGGGGATGTAAAATGGTGCAGCCACTATGGAAAACATTTGGAATTTACTCAAAAAGTTAAACACTGAGTTCCCAGATGACCCAGCAATTCCACTCCCAGGTATATACCCAGGAGAATTAAAAACATGTCCATACAGAAACTTGTACATAAATGTTCATACTGTGGTATAATAAAAAATATATATGTGGAAATACCACATGTTCTCACTTATTGGTGGGAGCTAAAAATAAATAAATTAATTCACTCACATACACACACACAAAAAAAACCGGGGGTGGGGGGGGAAGAAGATATAACAACTACAATTTTTTGAAGTTGTTACAACAAGCAAACGGAAAGGACATTCTTGGGTGGGAGGGGGGAGAGGGAGGAGGGAGGGAGGTTTCGGTGATGGGCCATAATAATCAACTACATTGTATATTGACAAAATAAAAATTAAAAAAAAAAAAAAAAATATATATATATATATATATATGTGGTCCCCACCTCTGCTCCCTAGCACACAGCTCCTAAAACCCTTGGAATTTCCAGAGTGATGAGGTGTCTTTTGTATGCTGATGAGAGGACTAGTGGCTGGGAGACCATAGATAGCTTCACAATAGTGGCTGGTCACCAGAAAGACCAAGACATAACTAGAAGATAAGGACTTTCAGCCCCATGCCCCAACCCCCAGGGAGGGGAGAAAGGCTAAAGGTTGAGTTGATGACCAATGGCCAGTGATGTAATCATCATGCCCATGTAATGCTGCCTCCATAAAAACCCAAAGGACAGGGTTCAGAGAGCTTCCAGATTGCTGAATACACGGAGGTTCCTGGAGAGTGGTGCACCCGGACAGAGCATGGAAACTTCACGTTCCTTACCACATACCTTGCCCTCTGCATCTCTTCTATCTGGCTGTTCATCTGGATCCCCTGTCATATCCTTTATTACAGATGGGTAAGAGTAAAGGGTCTCCCTGAGGTCTGTGAGTCGTCCTAGCAAATTAATTGAACCCAAGGAGGGGCTTGTGGGAACCCCCGATCTACAGCTGGTTGATCAGAAACTGTTATTTTAGGCTGTTATTTAAAAAACAAGAAGACTAGTCAAATGGGAAATACCATCATGAATTTAAGGCCTTTTAAGAAAAAGGTCATTGTTCTGCCCCGTTATTTAGGTGCCTGGGAGTCCAGGGTCTACCTGCTCCACTTTCAGGTGGAACAAAATCATATTCACACATGGTGACTGGGTTTTGGACTCTCATCTGCTTTCCACTAAGAAGAACCAGACTCTAAAATTATGTAAAAAATGAAAGAAGAGACGCCAAGTTGAAAGAACAAGACACTAAGAAAGGAGATGATGATGGCCAGTTGATTCACATTGTAGGGCAGGAAGAATCAAGAAGAGCCAGGAATATCTTACTGTCAGAAAACAAAGGTACTTTCATAGCCACCTTGGGGATGGAATTAAAAAGGGTAAGGAAGTCAAGGAGGTCAGCGTAAAGTAAGGGCTCTACTGGCTGGGCAATGGCATTCTGAGCATCAAAAAGAAAACTGTAATTCACTAGACTAATTCCAAAACATGGCCCCAAAGGGAAAATTATATAAAATATACTAGAGATGTGTCCCTAATTTCTGAAAAAAAAAAAGGGAAAATGAGAAAAAGACAAATCATTCAACTGGTAAAAGAATATAGTATACTATAATTTGTTTTACTGATAAATTACTTTCCCCTCATTGAGTAGAATATATAATTCTTGCAGTAATTGTGATGATTATTTGTTCTGATTTCTCTTAGAGATATGAAATTTTATAAAGACAAATACTTGCTGAGATGATACCATGAGAATACTGGAATTCAGTAATAAGCTTCAGGTAGGCCTGAAGCTGGAGTCTGTTTAGGATACTATGCCTAGGACACTGTCCTTTAGTTCACTTGGAAGAAGCCCTCTGGTATGTATTGGGATAGTTTCAAGTATGTTATTTAGATCTAGTGAGTGGGCCCACAGCTAAAACAATATGAGGAGGGGAAGCAGGGAGAGAACATGAAAACCTATCTCATTATGACTCTTAACATCAAAGTTCACCTTACTCCAGAGCAGCAGGGACATCAGCAGTTGTGAGTCCCTATCGAGCATGCTGAGAGCTCTGATGAAACAGTACTACAGCCTAGCATACTCTGGTCTCCTGACCTGTTTTAGGGTCTCCTTCAGTTCTTATATCCTTTGCTACTAAACAAACTGTACATCCTCTACCTGTGCTCACTGGCACCTTTTTGCCAATCTCATTACCATCCTGGGGGGCAGCCAGGCTGGTAGCAAGGGCCTGTCTATGGGCTTCGATTTCACATGAGATGGGAAGCCTTCAGAGAGCTGTAAGCAGGAACGTGACTGGATCTCATTGATGTTTTTAGTTTCAGATTTTTTTTTTGTACCTTTGGCGGCCAGCTGGTACAGGGATCCGAAGCCATGACGTTGGTGTTACAAGTCCCACACTCTCCCAAGTGAGCTAACCAACCAGCCCTAACTGATGTTTCTAAAAAGATCCCTCTGGCTGCCATGAAGAAACAGAACTAGACAAGGGAAAAGTATGCTGCGAGGTCCAGCCAGGAGGTGGTGGAGACAGGATGAGGGAGGCCTTCCGTATCCGCAAGAGGGCAAACTCGGCTTCTACTGAACACCTGCCACCACAAACATACAGAAATAGTTGATAAAATACAATAAAGACTATTTTTTAAAATAGCCAAGTTCTAAAAAAAAAAAAAAAGAAGAAGAAATAAAGGGAAACCCCTGGGTGCCAGCACTGAAGAGAGGACACAGTACAGAAGTGGGAAGCACAGGGCTGAGCATGCAAAATACCTGTGGGCCCCTTGGGAACGTGATGTAAACATTCAGTCAGTGCAGGAGAGCAGTTTTGTGTCTCAGTCTGTGGGAGCTAGATCTGAGATCCCTAGGTAAAGCCAGGTCCCTGGAAAAGTTGCCTCCTCTTTATAAGAGGGTCTAGAAAAACTCTGCCCACCAGCCCATGAATGCCTGTTCCTGCCTGGGTCTTTGGGTATAGAAAATGTGTTCTGTGAGGAATCACAGTCCAAATCCATGCCATCTACAGATGTATATGAATTTATGTTACCTATGTGCAATATAAATTCCAAACTAAGAAATGAATTGAACAATCTAGTCCTGTAACAGTGAAACTCCTGGGGTATCCAGCAGGAGCAACACAAAAATTACTCTGTAGGGACACATGTGCAATCCAGAGTGCTCAGGACTGCCACAGAAAACAGCAAGTTCAGCTAAAGATAAGCTCACATAAAAATTCGTAACCCTTGTAATGAAAGAATCAACCATAATGGAGAGTCAACGCCACCACAAACAGGAATTAATACCCCAATAAATTGAAATAATACAAGAATCTGAATGAGACTCTAAAATTATTTAAAAAATGAAAGAAGAGACGCCAAGTTGAAAGAACAAGACACTAAGAAAGGAGATGATGATGGCCAGGAGCAGGTAGCCGCGGTGAAGATGGGAGACAAACGGACTCACGCTATACTTTGAAGGAATGGCCTGCAGGATCTGCTGATCAGCTGCACATGCAAGAAAGGAATCAAGAAGAACTCCCAGTGTTTAGCTTCAGCAACTAAGTGGATGCTATGCCATTTACCAAGATGAAAAAGAGTAAAGGAGGAAGAGTTCAGTAGAGCAAGGGTGGGTTCTACACGATGATAAGTTTGGGATTCCTATCACACACCCAAGCAGAGATATCAAGTAGGAGGCTGAATTTTCAAATCTAGAGGTTCAGTGAGAATACAGGGTTAGAGATATCAATTCAGGCATCAGCATCGTATAGGGGATATTTACAGCCTTGCAAATTGCTATGTATTCATTCTTTCACATACAATTTAAGAGCTATTACCTGTGAGGCCATAAATTACCTATTAAACAGAGTTAAGGACCCTTAAAGTAACCTGTATCTCTCTTACACACTCTGTGACTATTTGTTTACCTGTCTCACTGTCACTCCTTACACCTGGCCCAGTGCATGGCACACAACCAGCAGTCAATATGCTTATTCAGTTACTGGGTGAATGACTATTCTAATGTTCTAAGTGCTAACTCCTGGCACAGTATCTTGAAAAGAGTGGGCACTCAAAAATATTTAATGAATGAATAAATAAGCTAACCTTCTGAGCAGCTAGACTCTGACTGCTTTCACTAAGAGCCAAAGACGTAAAATACTGGATACACTCATCTAGCTCTGTCTGAGGTAAAGAAACCAGCAACTGTCTGAGCTCTTCTTCAATGGAAGAATCCTGAAATAAAAAGAAAGGAAATTCTTCATAAATAAACTCGACAACTGAGTACAACAAAAAATACCCAAAGAATCAAAGCAAAATATATATGTGTGTATATATATATATTTACACACTAATTTTTAAACTGCTCTTCAAGTTTGTAATCCAAATGTTTACATACACATATATTTTAGCAGAGATAATTAGTGCTTTTGGCCTTGAAAACAGTCACCCAGCCAGGTAAATAATCGATTAATTCTGAATTCTATACTTTCGTGCCGGCTACTTAAATCTGAAACATCTATTACAAATTGTAACTCAATTTTTATTTCACAGGCTTCTTGATGTCTTGACTCAAAATGAATTATTACACCCTTTCTAACTAAGGCTACTGCTTTTTAAAATCCAGAACTCATTACTATCTCATTTCCTCTAATAATTAATCTATTATATTCATTTTCCAATTTTCTAAAAACTGATTGCTAACATAGAAGTTTTAAGAGTTTTTCTGGGCCGAGCCCGTGGTGCACTCGGGAGAGTGCGGCGCTGGGAGTGCAGCAACGCTCCCGCCGCGGGTTCGGATCCTATATAGAAATGGCCAGTGAGCTCACTGGCTGAGCGCGGTGTGGGCGACACCACACCAAGGGTTGCGATCCCCTTACCGGTCACAAAAAAAAAAAAAGACTTTAATTTTCTAGTCTAGGTGCAGTAGCCCCACTCAGTTGTAACAACCCAAAGTGTCTCTAGATACCAAAGTGAAGATGATATATTAAACTATTTTTCACTCTCTATTTTATTTACTTACTTCTTTTAAAGATGGCAAAGGAGGCGGTGGGAGAAAAAAGCGAAGATCACTCTCTTTGCTTCGTGCCAAACCAATAAGAGTTCTTGGATCACAGGCCTGAGCAATTATCCTATACTGGTAATCTATTGTGAAAGTATATTTTTTGTTAACACCCAATTAGCTTACAGTTGTCACAAGGATTAAATGAACAAACTACTTGAAAGTACACTAATTTTTAAACTGCTCTTCAAGTTTGTAATCCAAAATTTCCCAAATACTTTCTCCCAACTACAGCTGCATTCACAATAACTGTTAGTTAGATACACAACATTTCCACAATTGATCTCACAATCATATATCTGGGGACCAGGCCACAGTCTAACTGATGTTTTGGGAAAAAATGGAGCTCAACTGTGAAAAGTGGTAAGTCAGAACCAATTTACCTTCTTTTAAAAATAATTCCAGCATTCAAAAGCTTTTTTGAACACTACTCAAAACACATGAGGTTGCATTTAAGTCTACTGTCTGGTGAGAGAAGGTGCTTTGGTATTCCAGGACGTCCATGAATATTTAGTCTGAGGTTCCAGATGACACTACTTGATTTAAACATGCCATTTATTATGTATCAAAAACAAAATTCCAACCACTGAAGCAGACATTCTTTTCAATAATGGCAGCTCAGAACATGGGTAAGTAATTCAGGATAACATGGGAAACTTTCAAAGTCTATATGCCAGGGCTCTTTCCCTGATTTTTCTGAGACAGTAAGTCTCAAATGGAGCCCTGAAAAGCAGATTTTAAAAGATTTTTATTCTAAGTCTCTGCTAACATTAATTGAGCTTATACTTACATTGCAAGTTATTATAATTGTAGCCAGCAACGAATCAACAAATTAACATGTATGATCTTACTCTGAGACTTAACTTTTCTTTGAGAAATTTATTCTTTTCTATTGCTTGCCCGTTTTTACAATGTGACTCTATTAACAAATTATAGTTTCGTCCACGCACTATAATGAGAGCAGATTTGAGCTCTTACTCAAGTACTTTTGCTGCAAAACTTGATTTTTAAATACAATTAGATATTTTAAATATTCCTTAAAAACTGATATGCACACACACACACAAATCAAGTACCATTGACTAATTATAAGTATTACAGCCAACTAGACTGTCAAAGTAAAAGCAAATGTAAATATATGGTATGGCACACAACTACAATTAAACATATTTCATTAAATAGAAACCAAAAGAAAATGCAAGCACAACCTTAGGTGATAACTATGAGAATCAAGAGTTTCTCTCAAGGAAATAGGTAATCAAAGAAAGCTCTGTTCTGCTAGAAAGTTACACAAATATATATACACCTCAATTTTGAGGCTGCTCTTACCCAACACAACTGGCTACAGGCCAGCAGGTTTTTACTTTACCACTGGAGCTTCTTGTTAAATTTTTATAAATATTTTTTATATATATTAAGACTGCCTGAATTATTTTCCTTCCTTAATCTCATTCCTTTTATATTGGAAATCAAGAGCTAGCTGACAGGGTGCCTCATGTTGAGCTGGGCTCATTACCGTGCCAGTGATGGGTCTGTGACATTTCCCGCACAGCCTCCAGCCGCGCGGCCTTGTCAGCCGACTTGCTCTTCCTCAGCAGCAGCCACACAGCGCATTCATGGTCTTCTACATCAACTGTACTAAAAGGGTCTTTCAAAAAGAAAAAACAAAAACAAGAGAATGTGAACAGTTCAGACAACATTTTTATCCTCACTTTTTTATTTGACATCTCTTAATGTATAAACATCTGAAATGTACAGTTGGAGAATTAAATCCATGTATTGGTATTGATAATGACTCATATGTTTTTCTCAGTTCTGTCATTTTATTTTGTTATACTTATTATAAAAGCATTATGTATGTGCTTTTGTTTTATATACTATGATATCTTTATATGTGATCATTTTTTTTTTCCTTTTTGTCTTTTTTCGTGTCCGGCAACGGATCGCAACCCTCAGTGTCGCGCCCGTACCGGACCGGGACCGGCAACTGGGATCGCAAACCTCGGTGCTGCACCCGCACCTCGCTCAGCCAGTGAGCGGGAACCGGTCTGTATGTGGGATCCGAACCCTCGGCAGGAGCGCCGCCGTGCTCACAAGCGGCGCACTGTAGCAGTGCGCCACCGGGCCGGCCCGATATGTGATCATTTTTTTTCTTTTCCTTCCCTAAACATTTTATTTTGAAAAAAGATCAAATATATGGAATAATTGAAAGAATTATGAATTAACATCCATCTCTATCACATCCAGATTCAATTACTGTTATTATTTTGCCATATTTGCTTCATCTACATGCATGTGTGTGTATTTTTTTTCTATACTATTTGAAAGGAAGTTACAGACATAATGTCATTTTACTTTCATAGTTCAAGCTGCACCTCTGAAGAAGCCTGCGTTGTTTTACATAACCACAATGCTACTATCACCTCCAAGAACACTAACAAAAATCTCCCAGAATCATCTAAAATCCAGTCTAACTCCATATTCAAATATCCCCAATTTTTCCAAAAATATTTCTAAAGCTGCTTTTAAAACCAGGATTCAATAAAATCTCCTTAGTCTCTTAATTCTAGAAAGTTTTCCCACCTTTTTTCATGATGTCAACTTTTGAAGAGATCATGTCAGCTCCTTCATAGTGAGTTCCACATTGTAGATTTGCCTGACTGTGAAATCTACATTTTTTGATGCAATGTTCTCATTATGAGAAAGCATGAGAGTAATTTTCTAACAAATTTGAAATTTTAAAACACTAAACAAGAGCATAGGTATCTTTAATCTCAGTATTTATTTACAACTATCTAAGAACAATACATTCACAAAGATGGAAGAAAAGTGTCCAAAGCTTTAAGCGTTAAAATTAAATACAGCCCAAGAGAATAATGTTACTCAATTAATTTCCCATAGCTATAAAAATATTAGTATAAGAAATGAAAAAAAAAATCTTAGGTTGGTCATTCAGATGATTTTCATATTACTGATAAGGATTCCAAATTAAATATTTGAGTCTTACCAGCAAACGAACTCTGTAATATCTTGGCTGACGCTGCCAATATTTTTCTTACTGCTTTGTGAAGTTCTTTTCTTGCCTGGAAGGTGACCCCTAAAATGATCACAAACTTAAATAAAACCAGGTATGTACTCTTAATGCTATGCTCCTGTACTTCCAAGAGAAATGTATAAATTAAACTCCAAATTTTTTCACAAAGAAAATATAAAATAGTATCTTTGTCTTTTTATTGTCACTATCAATGCAACTAAAACCATTTTGGGAACATGGAGCTCTAGATTCCAAAATAAGATTGCTCTCCAAGTCAGAAAAAAAGTAAAAAAACAAAACAAAAACACTAACTAAAGCTAACGAAAATCTTCATATACAACATGGGATTAGCAATATTTAGAAAAATGTCCTTTATAAATAGCCCACATCAAACTGAAATTTGGAGATACCTTACTAATGAGATGAAGCCTCACTACATAGGTAAATTATAAGCTACAACAATTATCTATGTAATTTGAAATTGTACATATACCACCGTAAAAGTACATTGAAATAAAGGAAAGTGACATAATAAGCACAAACAGGACAGAGTGGTGATATACACAGCTCACAGACAGGGGAGCAGTACAGCCTGCCCCACTCAGGGAACATAATGTGCTAAGAGGCACATCCTGGCTGATGATGTAGGAACTGGCAGCTACAAGTCAAGTGTGGTGACTCACCAAGCTACCTATATCTCGATGAAAATATACTCCTCTGCTCTGAAATGTCATGTTCACGAAAACAACCGTCTCATTACTAATAAGGCTTCTGTGTGACCTAAATAGCGAGAAGTGGAATGTCCTAACTAGTAAAGACAAGTTTTCTAGCCTCTATGACAGATAATAAAAAGTAAGTTGGTATTCATATTTATGAATACATCTCATTAGTTTGGTATGAATAAATCCCTTAGGGCAGAAATATCTCTGAGCTAAATGACAAATTTGTATTTTGTACTTGCCAAACTGAAGGCCAGCCTCTAAACTAACAGCCCCTACTGTGGTATGGAATTCCAGAGTCAGACTAAAACAGCCAGCTAGTCTTCACTTCACTTAGTTTTAGGAGAGCTGCAAACTTGGGTTAAATATGTAAGTCCAAAATTTGGTCTTCAATTAATTCTTCGGGAATTTGATTCTCACAGGGTTTAGTGATTTTTGGAGTTAGCTGAATCTATCTTATTAATACTGTGTTTTAAATAGTCTCATTTTTAAATTCAATAGCAAGCTTCCATTTTTCACAAAGATGGGATTACTTTACAATAAACTTACCATGATTTTCTCTTTTATCTAAAGAAACTGTGTTCACATATATATATGACTTCATCTTTTCTCTTTCTACCACTTGAGTATCTAATGTCAAAGATTTCTTCAGGGCCAGAACTTCATATGTAAGAAATAAAGAACTTCTTAAAAAGAAACAAAAAATTCATCATAAATACATGATCTACATGTAACATAAGAGCTATTCTTCATTATTAAGCTTTTCATAGTGAATTTCTTTCTTTTTTATACAGTAAAACATATATAACATATATATATAATAATGTGCACATAAAATTTATAGATATGTATATATGTATATACAAACATTCTGGTTTAATGAATAATAATAATAAATAGCTACATAATCATATCCAGGCACACAGAATATTAAAAGTAACCCTGAAGCCCACAGTGTGTCCATCCCTGATCTTGCCCTGTTCTCTCATCTCTACAGGTAATTATTTCTGATTTTTATTACAATAATGTCCTTACTTTACAGTTTTACCATTAACATATGCATCCTTAAACAACACAGCTTAGTGTTGCCTGTTTTTTGAACTTCACATGAATGGAATCACAATGATGTATTCTTTTGCTCAGCCTTATGTTTGTATGATTCATCCATGTTGTTGCATGTAAATGTAGTTCTTATATTTACAATTTGATATGGTATGTGATTCATCCATCATATGGATATGCCACAACTTGTTTACCCATTCTACTACTGATGGGCATTTAGGACATTTCTAGTTTGAGTCTATTACAAACAAGGCTTTTACACATCTTATACATGTATATTTGTGCACATGTGGCTATGTTCCTCTAGGGTACATATCTAGAAGTAGAATTACATTCTTTCTGACAGTAAACACACTATTTAACTTTACTAGATAATGCCAAACTGTTTTTCCAAAAAGATTAATGCCATCACCAGCATATGAAAGTTTCTCCTTTCTTTTTTTTTTTTCCTTTTTGTCTTTTTTCGTGTCCAGCAACAGATCGCAACCCTCAGTGTCGCGCCCGTACCGGACCGGGACCGGCAATGGGATCGCAACCTTCGGTGCTGCACCCTCACCTCGCTCAGCCAGTGAGCGGGAACCGGTCTGTATGTGGGATCCGAACCCTCGGCGGGAGCACCGCCACGCTCCCAAGCGGCGTACTGTAGCAGTGCGCCACCGGGCCGGCCCCAAGTTTCTCCTTTCTTATGTGCTATAATTAAAAGTCAATTTTTAAATGTTGTTTGTTATGTACCCCAAAATGAAGGTTTTTTTTCCTGATCACATTGACCTACACAGTCCCTAAATAGAGATGCAAAGGTTGTACTCTGTTTCTGTCTTGATTCAGAGGTTAGCGATACCAGTTATCCTACATCTTCTCCTAACTTTTGATTTCTACCCTAAAGCAAGCAAATGAGACAGGCTCCGAACTGGCCAGCACCAGAGGAATACAGAGAAGGCTTTACAGAATCCTCTGCCATCTTAGGGATTTATCTGAGCAGCCAAAAGTAGCAAATGTATTCAGTACTTTTATCATATTTTCTGTAAAAGACAAAATTCTTTAGTAAAAATAGTGTCATTAATTTTCACTATATTCCTGAATATGTGTGATGTAGCCAAAGAAACTGTATTACAGAAAAGAGTATACATTTATCTTTTGTCTAAATGAGTCAAAGGGAAAAATAATCTAAATATTTCTTGCTTTACATTACAATCTCATGAAGAAATGGATATATTTAGATAAAATGTCTAATATTTCTCCTTTATCACTTTAGCATCTAAGCATTGATTTTATATTTACCCTAGTAAAAAAAAGTATTAACAAATATAGTAGAATAGTATTAGACATACATTTAACACATACCCACACCCCCCAAAAAAGAAAAAGAAATAATGAAAAATAACAATCTGCAGAAAGAAGGTCACCCCATTCATTAAGTGTGTGCCTCTCAAGGAGCATGAGATGGAAGAAGTCAATCTGTTGGCTTTCTCAGTCAGCCTCAATTTCCTTTCATGAAAGAGATTTTCAAAAATAATTCTTACTATAGTATAGATCTTACCTTCTTCACTCAATTTATAACCTAACACAAGATGTGGTTTTGAGCGTGTCAGAGCTAGCCGAATGAATGCTGCTGCATACATGTCAGGTGCTTTCCTCTAGCAACGGCACCAGGCAGGCAGAATGCCCACTGCACGCTTGGGCACCAGAGAACACATTCCTCAGGAGGGTCTACATAACACTCAAGTGGTAGAACCAGTGATTAAATCCATCTATCTAATTCCAAAGTCTACACCCTCTGACTACACCATGCAACCTATAAACCACTTCCACTGAGATTCCCAGTAGTAGCAGAATGAAGCCAATTAACATTTCACAGTTGACACTTACCCTAAAATAAGCGATCCAGTAAACTTTATTATATTTCCTTCAAAAAGAAAGGAAAAAAGCCAATGTGATGAATTTCATTTTTAAAAGTGTGACAGGAAATAGGCAACAGTGTAAGTCTCTACTAGATTATATGTAATCAGATAAGTTTTCTATTTTTTTTTCAGATTTTTTCTATTAATGTAATCATATTATTCTATTTTTATGTTATTATATTTTTCTATTAATGTAACCAGTTGTTGTCAACACAGGGCTTCCTATCCCCAGATATAAACAAATCAATCAGTAAGCACTGAGTGCAAAAATATGATTTATACTTATGGCATATCATTCTTATTCTCGCCTTCCTCCACTTCTTGCCATCCCCTACCAAATCACTAGAGACCAGGTCCCTGTGCCACTACTGATATTGCCAGGACGACAGTATTTCCACTGAATGCAACGTCCAGGAAACTCACTTGCCTTCTGACTCCTTTTAGTTAACAACCAATTACATAAAGGAATGGGGAGAATTCTCCCTATCACTACTAGGACTATACTGAGGGATTATTTGTCAAGCGGGGACACGAAATGATATTTCCCAAGTAATTATGTTGTAAGTGGTGGTTAAATGCCATACGTAGGTCCCACTTAAAAGACAGGTTACATTCTACAAATTTATTTATAAATTTTTGTTTGGAATTAGGGAAAAAAATATTTTTTAAAAAAATCCTACTGGCAGATACTGCTAATTGCCTATTCAATACACAAGCCCCTTAATCCTTACTAACATAAGCTGATTACCACTCAAAAATACTCAAATTCCCAGATGACTCTGCAGCTAGGGCTGGCTGTGTAACACAGTTAGCCCATCAGATATAAGTGGAAGTCTACAGGGAGGTATTCTTCTCCAAATAAAAAGATAAGGCCTCATAACATGGCTTTTGACCCTTCTGCCTTCTTGATGTCCAGGAGTTCAACAACCATCTTGTGACTATGAGGACAATCATGGTAATGGAACAGAAGACAAGAACATTGCTGAGGTTCTATCCTAAACTATCTCTATCACGACTTCTCGTTATGTAGGAAAAATGGAAGCCTTACTAACGTAAGCCACTGTAGTTCAGTTTCTGTTGCATGTGCTGCGCACAACCTTAACAAACATATTATCCATGGGTTGGGTACTGAGGCCAGCTCACAAAAATCTACTTAATCTAAAATGTACTGTATATACAGAAGTAGCCCCTCGTGCAGAGCTTTAACCTATGTTGCCCACGAGACACTTCTTCCTCTGAGGGGTAAGGAGCCCCGCTCGCTTGACTTCCTATGCATCAGGAAGTGTGATGAACATTCCTCCCAAACTCTAGGACCCTGGTGGTGGTTCCAGAATGGGGAAGAGAACAGTTTCAAGAGGTCTGCGGGGATGAAATCAGAAGCTGTGATGCTCTAAGCTTCTTGACTATGCAACTCCTCTGGGACATTTTTCATTCAAGACGTCTCCCTGGACTTCCTCTCTCACATCCTCACCCTGTGGGCCCAAGGAACACCTTTGTTTCCTTCTCCATTGATACACCCACTGCTTTGTACTTGAATGTCTCTTTTCACTGGGCCCTTGGAGCGGAACACAGTCTCACAGTCTGTTCTCCTACCCTAAAGTAAATTTACCACTCTTCAGTCTGTTCTGCTAGAAATGATGAGAGAAGAAAACTCCCTTCTTGTTCCCACATCTTTTTTTTTTAATTTAAAATACAGAACCAAAATTTTCTAGATGAAAAAGGTCTATCCTAAAAACAGATCTATCTTAAGCTCAAAAGGAAACTCCATAAGGATAGGGATTTTGTCTTATTCAATATTGTATCCCTAGGGCTTAGAATAGTACAAGGCACATAGTAGATGGCTAATAAATATTTTTGTCTATTGTCAAATGAATGAAAGATGATCTAGGCCAATCTCATTTTTTTTTTTCCTTTTTGTCTCTTTTTTTGTGACCAGCAATGGATCGCAACCCTCAGTGTCGCGCCCGTACCGGACCGGGACCGGCAACGGGATCGCAACCCTTGGTGTTGCCCCCGCACCTCGCTCAGCCAGTGAGCGGGAACCGGTCTGTATGTGGGATCCGAACCCTCGGCGGGAGCGCCGCTGCACTTCCCAAGCGGCGCACTGTAGCAGTGCGCCACCGGGCCGGCCCTAGGCCAATCTCATTTTCAATGGATCGCAACCCTCAGTGTCGCGCCCGTACCGGACCGGGACCGGCAACGGGATCGCAACCCTTGGTGTTGCCCCCGCACCTCGCTCAGCCAGTGAGCGGGAACCGGTCTGTATGTGGGATCCGAACCCTCGGCGGGAGCGCCGCTGCACTTCCCAAGCGGCGCACTGTAGCAGTGCGCCACCGGGCCGGCCCTAGGCCAATCTCATTTTGTAAATAAAGAAAATAATGCTCACAAAAGGTGTATTAGTCCACTTCTGTTGCTTACAACAAAATACTTGGAACTGGGTACTTTATAAAGGAAACAGAATTTATTGCTTACAGTTTCAGAGGCTGGGAAGTCCAAAGTCCAGGGAACACATCTGGAAAGGGTCTTCATTGGTGGTGGCTTTACAGCAATGCTGGGTCTCCCATGGCAGAAAATGAACAGAGCATAGAGAAAGACTCTCACATGCTCTCCTTTTAAAGTCCTCAGAACCATGCCCCTGACCACCATTATCAATCCATTCACTATGGCACGGTCCTACAATCTTATCACCTCTTCAAGACCCCACCTTTCAATTAACATAATAGGATTTCCCATACTTTCAACACTGTCACAGGTGGGGGCCAAGTTTCCAATACCTGGAACTTAGGGGAACACAATTTAAGTTTCAGTGAGTTTGAGGGGGACATTCAGTTCACAACAGAAGATAAGTTATTTCATTCATCCATTCAACAAATATTACTTGAACACCTACTATATGCCATGTATAATAATAAACAACTAGGAAACAATGGTAAATAAGATAAGACACTGCCCTCTCAGAGTTTGCAGTCTACAGGGAAAGTCAGATAATAACCAGGTTCTATATTGACACTACAGAATGATAAGTGACAGATCTAAAGTGACCAAGGGGAGCAGGGAAAGCTTCCTACAGGAAAGCAGGCCTACACTGTGAAGAGTAGACTAATTCCAGATCCCAAGTCCCAGGAGGACAAGGACAAAGTCTCTTCCTTGGTTACCATTATATTCCCAGAAACTAACACAGGTGGTTGGCACTTTATTTTGCAAGAACTTAATATCATAATGCTGAGTGAGAATGCAGTGATACTTAAGTCAAGTTTGGAAGGATGACTATGAATTTGACAGGAAAGTAGGGGAGGGAAAAGAATTCTCAAGAAAAAGGAGTATGTATGGCTCTGGGCCTTCAAATTTGGGGTCAACCATTAGTACAGAAAGACATAAATGAATCTGAGACTTATCAAATGGGTTAAATAAGTTTTTGTGGCCCACCCTGAAAACTTAACCATAATTCTATCACTGTTTCTTTAAGAAAATACTGTTATTTATTTATTTATTTATTTTTTTTTTTTTGGTCTTTTTCCGTGTCTGGCAATGGATCGCAACCCTCAGTGTCGCCCCCGTACCGGACCGGGACCGGCAACGGGATCGCAACCCTCGGTGCTGCTCCCGCGCCTCGCTCAGCCAGTGAGCGGGAACCAGTCTGTATGTGGGATCCGAACCCTCGGGCGGGAGCGCCGCCGCGCCTCCCAAGCGGCACACCATCCAGTGCGCCACCGGGCCGGCCCCATGAAAATACTGTTATTTAAACTATACTCACTGATGTCTCTCCAGCGTGTGTCACTTTTTGGCGGGGGAGTAGAGGTTCCTATTCTTCTGCAACAGATGACACAATAAGCAGCCAGGGACATTCTGTGTAAGTAGAACAATTATAACAAATTTAGCTTAAGATCTAATTCAAAACATTTAACTATAAGAACATATTACCATCACAGTGGATTGCACACAGAGTTAGATTTTCAAGACCAGGAAAAAACTTTTCAATTAAAAAAAAGATTTCTCCCTTAAAAACTTAAAACAGACTTACTAGAATAGTATTTTGCTAGAACCTGTAATTTGATTATTATTCCTTGAACTGTGTCTAATTGTGAATAGTGATTAACAGGAAACAGGAATATACAAATTATCAATCAGAATATCAATACAGGCATTTAATTTTTTAAAAAATATATATTTAAAATACATGTATGCATAAATATATATGTATTTATCTTTGATAACTGAAGGCCCTACATGAAATGATAAGCAGCTCTGAATGAAAGATATATTTAGAACCCACAGAAGTATTTAGCTTTCCTCTAAGCTCCTGCAGGATGGTACCCAACATTGTTTAAAATCTTCAAAATTTAATTCACTGTTGGCCTCCTATCAAAGAAGGGGAACTGTCACCCAACTAATTCATCAACTAAGTAAAGATGATCTAAATATGATGCAATCTTTTGTAGAACAACTTAGTACTCCAGAACCATATCAGATTGTCTTCGGATAATGAGACTTCTTTTTCTTTTTCATTTTGCTGTAAGGAAGACCCTTGAGGGACTCATGTGAAAAATGCTCCTGTGTGGGCTGGCCCAGTAGCACACTTGGTAGAGTGCGGCGCTTGGGAGCGCGGCGGCGCTCCTGCCGAGGGTTCGGATCCCATACAGAGACCGGTCCGCTCACTGGTTGAGCGCGGTGCGGGCGCGACACCGAGGGTTGCGATCCCGTTGCCGGTTGCGGTATGGGTGCGACACCAAGGGTTGCGATCCCATTACCGGTCACGAAAAAAGACAAAAAGGGAAAAAAAAAAAATGCTCCTGTGGTTCAACATATTAAAAACTTCCAGCAGCTTTATAGGGATTAGGGGGAGATTACTTGGTGTGCATGAGTAAGAAATACCTGTTAAAGATAACACAAAATAAAAAGCTTTAATTTTTTTTTTTTTAGTTTTATTTTATTTTGTCAATATACAGTCTGGTTGATTATTGTGGCCAATTACCAAAAAAAAGCTTTAAATTTTTAATTTGTGATTCTATCACACCAACTGATGACTTAAACTAATTTAGGCAACAGGTAAAACTTGTAAAGGTCACTGTTTTAAAGGTCATTGTTTTGTATTTTCTCACTTATTTAATGAGTTGCTGCTATTTCTCTCTGAGACATAGATAATGATAAAAGACTAATGAAGAAGGTGCTCACAAAACCGGGATAGAGTGATATACAGATGTGTATTTTAGTTACTCCACGAAAACTGCATGACAAAATGCACAGCAAACATACCTGCCACTTCTCTCAACCCTGACACCTACTATAAAAGCAGTCAACTATAAACCATCATATGAGTATCCTTTATGATTACTCCTCTGGCCTAAAAACCTTTCTAGTGTTAACTTCAACTAATCTCCTCTCACTAGGCTTCCCTTCCACTGAGTCCTGGGTATAAATCTGATTACAATGGAAATATAGTTCTGTCACTTCCTCATCTTACTTCCTCTTCTGGATTTCCTCGGATGATACTACTGGACCTTGCAACTTTCTCCAGAATAAAATGCTCCACTTCTAACTTTGTAACATTCAGTTCTCTGGTTCTTGGTTATTTCTAGTTCATCTACTCTCCAGTCTCAGCAAACCTGCCAGCCCTTGCTTTTCCAGGAGTGAGCAGCTGCCTTGTGGCCGTACTTCCTTCCCCCCCAGGCTTGACTCCATGGCACAGCCCTCCAACCTCTCTCTGTTGTTCCCTCAATATACTAGAACTCTACTCTCCTATAACTTTAGAACTAGAACCTAGAACTTCTACTCTCCTATAATTCTAACCTGAAATGCGTCCTTTCTGTGCTCTACACTTGGACAGCCAAAGTGGGGGTCAAGGGGACAAGAGACAAACTCAGGATGGGCTCTCAGAAGCATTTTTGCTGTCCCTATTCCACTGTCTTCTCACCACCACAATGGTTGTTCTAACAATCCACACATTCTTTCAAGCCTCCACTCTACCTCTGTCCCTCTCAGGTCATCTTTTCCCTTATCTCACTCAGAAAAGCAAGACTATTAACTCCCTCAACTTCTGCCCCATGTCTGTAAGCAGGGACAGATCCAGGTATTGTGGGACTTAGTGTTTATGCAAATTAGAATGTGGGGCTCTTTAACAAAATAGGAGAACACAAAGTTACAAATACCAAGTTAAGTATTAAAGTGAAAGTTATTTAAAATGAGAAAGAAATCACATGAAGTTACTGGAGTCTAAGAAACCTGGTAACTTTCTTCTGAGATTTTGTTATTTATCAGAAACATTTGCATAGAATTGCTTCCAGACTACAACGTGGTGTTCCCTCCCCACCTTGAACATTACAGCTCCTGGTAATTCCTCATTCAAAGGAGCCAACAAAAGGAAGGCAGGCTAAAGCTTAGCTTCGTAACTCCAGAGCAAATTTTCCTTAGCCTACGAATGTGCACTTATCTGCATCATCTTTTCCAGATTCCAAGTGGATCTTTCTTGCCTGTTCCCCCCAGGTCCAAGAGAAAGAAACGCTCCACCTGCTCCACCTATGCTCTAGATCTCATCTCTTCATGTCCATGAGGACCTTGACTCATTAACTATCTGCCTTTTGCTTTTTACTCTTCACACTCTCCCTCTCTTTCAGTTCTTTCTGAAAAAATACTGGATGTCCAAAGTTCTCCCATCAAAAAACAAAGAACTAATAAAAAAACAAACAACTAACCCATATTCACTTACCCCCCCATCACACTCTATTTTTTTTTTCTTTTTTGTCTTTTTTACTGACCGGTAACGGGATCGCAACCCTCGGTGTTGCACCCGCACCGCGCTCAGCCAGTGAGCGGGAACCGGTCTCCACATGGGATCCGAACCCTTGGCGGGAGCGCCGCCGCACTCCCAAGCGGCGCACTCTCCAGTGCGCCACCGGGCCGGCCCACACACTCTATTATTTTGAAGCAAATCCAAAACGGCATATCATTTAACCCTTGAATATTTTAGTATACACTTTACCTGAAAAAAAAAATCATTATGCCTCAAAATAAATTGCTTAGTATCATCAAATATCTTATTAGTGTTTCCATTATTTCATAAACTTTATTTGTTTTGCACTCTTGGTCTGTTAGAATTAGGTTCCAAAAAAGGTCCACGCATTACATTTGGTCAATAATGTGCCTCTTTTGTACAGTCAATTACTTCTATGATTATTGGTTTACTAGGATTTTCTTCTTGAATCAGTCTTGATAATTTCTATTTTTCAAGAAAATTTGCATGTAAGTTTTCAAAATCACTAGTATAAAGTTGTGCAAGCTATTCCTATGATTTTTTTCATCATAAAAATCATCTGCTTTTTGTTCAGCTTGCCTACTCTATCTCACCTATTCCTTCCCATGAAAACCACAATAAAGGCTCTGGCCCATGCTTTCTCCTTGTTCCTTATGCTACCTGACTGCAAATAAGACTAGGATAGTCTGCTGGATAACAATTGAGCCAACAAGTACTAAATGACAGCCAGCACCAACTGCCAGGCATGTGAGGCCATACCAAACTAACCAGCCCCTAGCTGACCTACAAAGCCCATATTCAACCCTCAGACATTTATAAATAAATAATAAATGGTTAATATAAATAAATGGTTTATAATATAAATAAATGGCTGTTTCAGCCACCAGTCTGTGGGATGGTTTAGAATGCTCCAAAAAGCTAACTGATTGATACATGTGTTTTCTAAACTTTCATTTATACTTCAAACATACTTATTTTAAAATCTCTCTATTGGAACCACTATTTCTAGTACTTAGGGCTGGCTATACTTCATGGTTGTTTGTTTGCTTATATGCTTTGTAATCTTTGATTGAGAGATCATCTTCACTGGGAGTATTTCCTGTGGGAGTCCTATGTGCTCTGTTCTATAGTGCAGTTTCAAATTTATCTGTCAAAATTCCACAGGTATTACAAATTTATGGATTTCTCAACCAGCACTAGGAGGACAATGTGAATTCAAATGCCACAACCACAAATGATATAGATTTTGAGTTCCAATTTCCACTTTCCTGTTCCTGGTAAAAGCAAGTTTTCATGCTGTTCCCTTAAAGGAAGGAAATTTTCTAGTCCCTGTTTCCTTGAAGGTGTAATCCTTCAAGACTATCACCTTCAGGCTAGGCTGACTTTAACCCTACATGCATGTTAGACCCAAGCAATTAAGGTTTCTATCAGGTTCTGATAACTCTGCAACTTGCTTCAAGCCTCTCCCTCAATGACTTTCTTCTGAGCATCCTCTTCTCTTCCTTCTCACAATTCCAAGCTCCTCTGTTACATTTTACCTAAAATTTTCATGTGTATGAAGGGACCAGAGGGTGTGGCCTGGAAGTAAATGTAACTTTTAAAATGGGAGAATGTTATCTCCTGCCTTAAATCTTTCAATAATTTACCATTGTCTAAAACAGTCTTAAAATTTTGATCTCTAGAAAATTAGTAGTCCTGCGCTACAAAGAATGCTGCAGGTTATCTCTCAGTTTCAGACAAAAAAGTGAGAAAACAATATTGTTCACTACTTTTTTTTCATTTTTAAGATTTAGATACAGTAATATTCACCATCTGAAATATACACTTCCAAGGGTTTTGACAGCTTCAAATCAAAATATAAACGTTCTATTAGCCCAAATATTTCTGAATCCCTTTGTAGTCAAATCTCTCCCACACCCAGCTCTGAAAACCACTGATCTGTTTTCTGAATCTATAGCTTTGCCTTTGCAAGAATGTCATATAAATAAACTCATACAGTATGTAGCCTATGAGTCCGGCCTCCTTTACTTAGAAAAATTAACTTGAGAATTACCTGTGTTGTTGTGTATACCAGGAGTTTATTGTTTTTATTGGCTAG